GGGGGGTGGCGGCTGCTTGGGGGCACAGGTCTGGGCGCTGCCGGCGCCTCTCCGTGAGGCGGGGCGAGGCCCCGGGGGCGGTCGGCACTGTTCCTCTCGGCCGGGCTCCTTCGGGCGCTGGCGGGGCCCCGGTGCCGTCCGTGCGTGGGAGCGCTATGGCCGGGACGTGGGGCAAGGAAGCGGAGCGTGAGCTCGGGACGGCCGTGGCGGGGAGAGCGGGCGGGGGTGCCGGTGAGGGCTGACCGCGGTGAGTTCGGACGACCAGGGAATCGGGTGTCTGGGTGGGGAGCGCGGCTAACTGTCTGCCCCCCTGGGCGTGCCGCTGCTGGGCAGGCAGGCGTCGTCGGGCTCACGGTCCCCGCGCTTAGTAGTGGTAAGCTGGAGCGTGCCCCTATGCCCACTAGTTTACTGGGAGGTGGGAGGATCAAAACCCCAAACTTGTTTTTACCTGAAGTTTACTATCTAAAGCTAGAGGAAGAACTTTCTGATGAGACTTCTGGAATGAAGAGGGGCTGAAGGGGGGCTGGATTTGTAAAGCACTTGAAAAATACATAATAAGTGACACATTTTCTGTGCTAGATTATGCTTTGAAAAACAAACTAGATGCGATTTGTTTGTTATTTCCTTCCGCATCCGCTCTGGAATAGAAGTGGTAACTAGATAATTGCTGGTGGTATAGATGCCACTGTAGTTCATTAATACCTGTTTATGAAAATGACTTAATGCAAACACTTGAAATGCCCTTAAATGTGTTACTAAACTTGAAATGCCCTGAAACATGTTACTTAACATGTTCTTTAAAAGAAACATCTCTTAGGCTGCATTCTTGGTTTCTACTTAGAGTTTTCAAATATATTTTTTTGGTAATAACTTAGAACATTTAAATATTTTTATTGTAATGCCTTTCATTCTCAGAAACTAAAAAGAGAGGTACTTGTGGTCTGTGTTCTAGTTCTTGTTCCTAGTTCCAGAAAAGTGTCTGAGATAAATATCTATATTCCTTTTACACATTGTAGCATGTAGCTTTTTTAACTATTTGTTCAGTATTTTTGGTGGGTTTGTGTTGTGTGTATGTTCTGGTTTTGAGAACCTTTTTCTAAATATGTTCCTTGAATAATAGTGATGCATAGATTGTTCATCTCTTAACTCTTTTTTTAAAAAAAAATCTTTCTTCAGGACTTACTGCTATGGAGAAGAAGCTGGCTGAATACAAGTGTAATACAAATGAAGCAATTCAGCTGAAACTAGGTAATGATACTTTTTAAATATTGTGCATTTGATACTGGAATATTTCAGTACGTTCTAAAGAAACTTCCTTATACTTAAATCCACCCAGGTTTTAATATGTACTTAATTAATGTAAATATACAAACACAAGAATAGGAATACATAGTCTAGTTTTGCTGAGACTACTACAATTAAAGTACAGCTATAGAAATTCAGTCCTGTCTCCACATAATAATGTCACCAGCAATTTATTAGCCTGTTACCAGAGTGCATTGGAATTACATCTTGTCTTATTTTCTTGAAGTATTCATTATGTTCTTTTAGTTTCCCTTTTCTTCTCTAATACTTATGCCATGGTGCAGTCCTATGTATGTGTCGTCTTCATGGTGACCATAGCAACAGAACTCATTTCTTTAGGGTTACAAATATCTAGTTATATATTTTAGTATCTTTCCCTTTTCTCTTTCTTTGAGGGGAGAAAAATAAAAGCAAGAAAGAAGATTGAAAAGTGTTGTTGAGTTGGGTTTTTTGCTTCCCTTCCCCCCCAACATCTGGATTACACAATACATTTTTAATGAAAATTGTTTAAAATCTGAATGGAAAAAAATGCCGCTCTTTTGAGAGCTGTTTATTGCTCTCTATAGCTAATTTGCTTACTAGGACATCCAGAATACAGACTGAATTACTGAACTCTTGATGGACTTGCTTATATCTCAAACTTACATGCAGCAGTAATAACTTGAAGAATAAGGCATACCTGTCTGATTTTTAATCTTTCCAGCCCTTCAGCAATTTGTTCCCTTGAGCAGTACAAATACCATAATGTATTAAGAAAATAAAAGTAATGAACCTGTAAAGCAGTTTTCAGAACTACTACTAGCAATCTGTTCTATATAGTTTAATAGCATCTTTAATACACAGTCACCTTTGGCTTGTGAGCCAAAATGTCATTGTAAACAAAATACTTAAATCTTTAAGCCACTGTAATTGTGAAGTATTTCTCTTCCTCTTAAACGTTATTTCAAATAACGGTTTTATGACTAGATCTGATTTTTTTTTTTTCTTCCACCTGTCTAAAACCAAAGGAAAGAATGAGAGATAATGATATCTGAGTGAATTTTGTCTAGAAATCTGAGGAGCTGCTATATCAGGTTTCAGGGAGACTGCTAGAGGGTTTTTAATCAAGGTACCCATTGCCCATCTCAGCTAATATTTTTAGCTTCCTTTTTTATTTCAGAGTGTAGATGTTCCACATACAAATTACATTAAGAGAAAAGATGAGAAACTATAAAGTGGTACCATTAAAAAAAAAAAAAAGTATTTCCCACATGCATATAAAAGCAGTCATACACTAGCCTCTTCAGGGTGCTAATTTCTTCCATGGTGGCAATTCAGAATTGTTCTTCAGTTTTTGTTTTGTTTCTTTTTTGTTGTTGTTTGTTTGTTTTTTTAACACTGCTATGTTGCCTCAAATCTGTTGCTTTCTGAATTAAACCTGAGAAGACAAGAGCAACCATTCTCTTTTGCTTTTGTGAGGGCCAAACTTTTATCTTATCACTAGAACACTCCTCATTTGTATTTTTCTCTTCGAATACTTACTTTCTAATAGCATCAGAAAAAACTTGTTTTTCTCATCTCCACTTTTACTGGAGTAAAGCAGCAATGAAGCTTTAAAAAAAAAAAAAGCTTTAATACCAATATTAACTCCTACAACATTGCATGGTCATGCTAATGCAATATTGGCTCATTCAACATTAAAAATGTGTAACTGTTTTCTTGAGCTACCTGTGCCTCGTTAACGTGGCTGAACTTTCATTTTAATGCCCAAGTTAAGAGTTATCTCTTTGAATTTTAGGTAATTTTTTTAGCTGCAAATACACAGTGGATGTTTGGGAGTCAAGCATCTCAGTCATCTAAATTTTTTCCTAGAAAATCCTGCTTTAATTTCTAATTTCATCCCCTAATCATAAATCATATATTTTATGATGAAGGAACTCCTGTCACAATTACTGTGGAGCAACTGCTGTAACTCCATAAGCATGAATAAAATGCTTGTTCGGTAAGTTACTGAGTTTGAGTAGATGCCATTGTAGTGAATATTTTTACGCTACCAGAAAAGACCTTGTTTAATAGTAGGCTTTGAGGGAAAGTAAGCAGTCAGAAAAAAAAAAATCACTGATTACTTTGGTAATATTGGTACAAGTACCAGTATAGCATTGGTACAGCTGTTTTGTATGTATCCATGCTAATTCTCCAAAACTGACATGAACATAAATGCACGTAAACGTTTCTTTCCATTCATCACTCCACTGAAAACCTCCTACAGTGAAGTGTTCTCACCTGCATGTGGGAGAAGAATGGCAGAATGAGAAGGCAACATTGATTACCTGATTGGTCTGGCTTACTGTGGGAATATCTAGCTGGGCAGTGTCCTCAGTGTTCAGGATGAAGTTAAAGGCAGTAATGTTCAGGAGATACATACATAAAATATATAAAGTACACATCTGTGTCAGTTTCTCCATTTTATTCTGCTTAATGATTTGATCTCAGGTCAAATAACATGCATCTAAATTGCACAAGATGTCTTTATTTCATTTGTATGCCAGCCTAATGTAGATAGGTTCATAATTGAAGTTGTCTGACTCTGTAGTGGAAGAATGCATGAACATCTAGCATGGTATCTGTGGATAAACAAACTGAAGCTGATGACTTGGTCACGCTCTTTTTTTTTCTTTTTTTTCTCTTCTCAGTTCGCTTTCCTGAGGATTTGGAGGATGACAACACAACGTTTAATCCAGAGTATAGCCATCAAGTGTTTGGAGATGAGTAAGTTAAAGTATCAAGCATCAAATTAATAGGTCTGGAAGGGGAAAGCTGCTTGTTAGAAATCGTTAGAAAACAAGAAATCCTGCTATACCAAGCTATTTTAAATGATGCAGCAATAGTTCAGTTTTATGACTGTATAGTTAAACAGTGGCCTTGGTGCCTAGCTCGTAGAGTTTGAGCCCGTAGTCATTTTATGTGCTATTTTTAAGGTAGATTAGCAGAGAATGAAATACCTCATTTTGCAGTCGGAATTACTTGTTTAAGTTGGTATTGTGTTCATGACATTTTTCTAAGATTAGGAAAGAATTATCAATTCTTGCTAATAACTTTCACAGTAATGTGTACCCAAAAAACCAGTGTCTAGCAACAGTATATCAGTTTATTTTTACTACTACATGGGATGTTTAGTGAATAAAACACAGAAGTAAAGTATTAATTTAAACTCACATTGGTGGCTGTTCTAGATCATTGAATGTTAACTGTATTGAATTTAGGGGTTTATTTTCTCTAATGTGTACGCTTGTAACCAGTTAGACATGCAGGGGATACAGAAACTATAGAAAAGTATTGGGTTTTTTTCCCCCCAGTATGCTGATTTTCACTAATATTGTAGGGAAGTTAGCTGCTATGTTGCTAGTGCTAAAGTGTTATTTAATGTTTTAGTAGAGTAATATTCAACAAGCTGTCCATAGTTTAAAAAAAAAAAAAAAAAACACACACAAAACCCCACTAAGGAAAATCCACGTGCACATATCTGGACTTCTTCAAGTGGTTAAGTTTCTTAATTTCCAATTCCTTTAAAAAACGTTCTACGTACTCCAAGTAGGATGAACTACCTATATTAATTGTAATAAAATTGGTTACGCTATTACGCGTCTACTGCAACTATCATTGACAATAATTATACTTTTAGTAATGGGAGAACTCTCCAATCTGTCAGTATCACCAACAAGCAAATTCTTGTTCTGGCACTTGCGCTTCAAATTTTATATTACAAATGTGCTACCATAAAAGAAAAATCTCAGTAAAAAAAGCTTTAACTATGCATTAAAATAACAAAAAAAGGAACCTGTTTCTTTGTGAACGTTACCATTTTCTGCAGTTCAGTTTTTTGCCTGAAAATAAATTCTCTGTACTTCAAAACAGTATAGTGTTTATGTTCAGGCAACTCATATTCTCAAAGTGTAAAAAAGGCTTTTGTCTTCCGTACCTTTTTTTTTGCGTTTACTGGATTCTGGTTAGATTGGATAAGTATAACTGTCCACCAAACCACTTATTGCTATGACTGCATATCTATCTGTTTTATACAGTATGAATTGCAGTAGTGTATTCTAAAATATACTACGCTGCAAAATGAGTCTTAATAAATGTTATTGATCAATTAATATAAATAAATGTTAATGAGTTTAAGATATTGAGAAACATAAATGCAATATTAGCTATTTCAGGTATTCTTTCTTGAGCTGTCACAGTTAAGTGCACAGACACTGCCTTACTGAGTTTGGGAACATGTTGTATTTCTCCACTAGAGGAGCAAAATAACTAGTAGAAATGGTGTAAGGCATTCTCTCTGTCTAGATAGTGCACATCCAGTTTGATTTCCTTTTCCTGTTAGGAAGTTTAGTATACCTCACTGGGAAAGACGACGTGAACTTCAAAGCTTATTAAACGAATGCGCTGTGATGTGAATGTTTTGCTGTGAAACTTTATATAGAGTTTCTGATTGCTCTTTTTTCCTTCCTCAGTGAAGTTGCCTTTGGCTACAAGGGACTGAAGATCCTCTTGTACTATATCGCTGGTAACCTGTCAACTCTCTTCCGCATCAAATATACATCTAAAGTTAATGAAAAGTTTGACTGTGTGGAGGTAAAGACAGAACCAGACCTGCACTTAAAATATTATTGAGAAGGTTTAGTTGGGATATGGACAAGAATGCTAGGTTTAGTAATTGCTCACCCAAACGTGATTTATATTAAAAGCAAACAAACAAAGCTTTCTTTGTTGTGAAGCTGAAAAAAGCTTTGAACTTAATCTATATGTTTTTCCACTGTTCCTCCTTTGACTACAGTACCATCAAAATTGTGTCAAACAGTACAGTCAAACATGAGGTGCTAATACCAAGGCCAGTTCCACAAAAAACCACAACTTAGTACGTCTATATATTTTCATGTTAATTGTCTCCAGGAGGAGGACTAGCATTGGTGGTTTTTTTAATATTGAAGAGAATTCTGTGAGAAGGAAAAGGAGGTTTCTATAAACACTGCATGAGGTAGGATACTTGACTGTGTCTCTTTAAATGGCAAATGTGGAGAACAAGTAAGGCAGAAATGAGATTAGAAACTTCTGGTTGGGTATCATGTGTGCTTTACATATTACTTAAAGGAATACAATAATACAGTTGCCTGCAGGATGTTTTGTTTGGTTTTGGTTTTTTTTTTTTACTTTTTTCTCTTTTTGCCTACAGGTTTTCCAAGCTTATAGAACACTTGTAGAAAAGCTTTTTTAACCCTTCTGTCTGTATGCTCTCAGAATATTTTTGAGGTAACCCCACAAAAGCTAAGCTAATCAGTCTTTCAGCCAACTGAAGAAAGGTATATGGAACTTACAAATAGGAATAAAATATCTTCTTAACAATTTTTTTGACTGTTAAATACTTGTATAAGTACCTATACAGTTATTTAGAAAAACTCAATTTTTCAGAGTGGTCTCTGATGCATTAAGAAAACTTGATATCGTCTGAGTTTTACTTAGTTATAAGGAAGAAAAAATTGAGTTGATTTCTTTCCAAAAGAGCTATTGTTATGCTTCATTAATGAATTTTTGTAATACTCTGTAGTGTGAAATGGCTATACGTTTGTACTGACTTCAAATTACTCTGCCTGAGAAAAGCTTTTTTTTTTTTTAAAGTAAACATCTTTATGACTTCAAGCTGTATTTTAAGTTCCTAATTTCACATTGATCAGAATCTCTTTAAATGTTTTCAAGGAAAGGCCTATTCTAAACAACAAAATACTGGAATTACTTTGTTAAATTAATTTTAAAGATTTGCCCTTCCGTGTTCTGAAGTTGTATTAGAATATACTTAGTTCAACAGGCTAAGTGCCTGGACATGTCTGAAGTACTTTTGAGGCTAGGGCAACATATCTTAGGAGTGAAAGGTCATGCTCTTCAATCTTTAGAAGGTTTTTAGAAATAAGGAAAAAAGGAAGGCCTGTTGGCAAAGTAGTAATCATTAAAATGAAACAGTCAAACCTTCACCAATATAAGTTCAAAAACATGTCACAACAGGAATCCGCACTTTAGCACCTCTTTACTCATAGTCTATCGTGTGTACAAATAACAAAGCCACTTTACTTTTCTGGAGGTAGGAACAAGGTAAACAAGGTCTGTCTTGCCCTGAGCACACTCTGTGACTTTTTGATCACTCTGAATCCTTGCTTCTTTCAAGCCCTGCTTCCACTACTGAATTATTCCTCCAATTGCTTAAGGGTGTGAGATGGGGACAAAAAAAATCTTTTTGAGCGAGGCTTCTGTATACTTTCCTGAGTATTTACAAGCTTTGACTGAATCGGAACAATGTGGTAGCTTACCCTGGGCATCCCTTGGATGCTGTGCGTCCAAATAGGCTGCTCATGTGGCTATATCTAAACCTTAGTAGGAAAAAAGATACAGTGGTTATCAATCATGTTCTGCATTTGTATTTGCCATTAGTTCAGCCACCTTAAGATAGAATGCATTTGCAGAGACTAAAACATAAGCTGTCATTACAGCAGGGTGTTAATTTAAATTAATATTAACATTTACTTTTCAAAGTTAACTGTTTGGTTGCTGATCTCTGCTCCTTCGGATAATTATACTAAGATGCAGACTATCTGCCATATGTGACAGGTAATCTTTGTGCTGTGAATAGATGGTGTTTTGGAAAGGACAGCAGTCTCTGCCTTTAATATAACTGGTTACAAGTGAGAAGCTAGTTTTAATGCTCTGCAAAGTTATTCACAGCTTAGGATTTTGTGTCTAAATACCCACAGAAGCCCATTCAACAGCAAATGGGTTTATTCTGTGATATTAAGTTTGGTTCCATTATTGCTAAAGCAGCTGCTACAATCTCTGCTAGGGACTGACAGAAATATTCCTCCCAATACCACTATTTTTTCTCCAAGATCTTTTCAAACATGAGGAAAAAGATAAGATCCTGAAATATCAAGAGCCAGTTATATTTATGCATCTTAATCTCATCTCCATAAAGATGGATCTAAACCATGTTAGTAGGGAAGGCTCAGCAAAGTATAATCATGTTTTGAACAGAAGTTGGCACTCTGTTTAGTTAAAATGGACAGAATTTATCCCTTGGGTGGAGTTGATTCTTTCAAATATCTGAAGAGAAGCTGCTTTCTTCTAGTGTAAATATTAATAGCATTGACCTCCGAATTGCGTGCTGCTTTGAGAGATGCAGCTGTTCAAGTATTCTCCTTTTCATCTGGATTAATTATTTTAAATGAAGCCACTTTGAAACAGCATGTACGTGGTATACAAATGTCGTAACTGCCTGCTAGTACAAGAATAATCTCTTTATTAAAATTATCCAGAGTCAAATGGAATGTGCAAAGAGATACAGCCCACTTAAGTAGTCCTGCTACAAATCAAGTTTAGTTACAAGCCTATACCAAATTCCCTATCATCACCTCACATGATTCCGATTATGATGATTATACATTACAGGCAGTACTTCCATGAACCACAAGCTCAACAACTCTTGGCTGGCTTCATTCAGGTTTTTGAATGCTTTGTTGTAAGTGGCTTTGCCTATGTTTAACACTGCTGCAGTAGTCAACTGGATTGTTTTTCTGAAGAGAAACTTGTGCATCATCGTGTACATCTGTGCCAATTGGTAAGATAGTGCCTTGCTCTGGTAAGAGAAATAAACCTCTCGCCAATATCAAAGAAATACACAAAGGAAGTCAGTAAACAAATTTTTGGTAACTCCTTGGATTATGAGCACCTCAGAGAGAAGTGTTTGGAAAGTGCCTGCTATGTAATGGGTGTTTCCGTTAAAAAGTACAAGCATTAATGAAACAAATTATTTGTATGCTGTTGATATTTCTAGATTCCAGTATTCCAGGACTTAGTAACTGAAAAATTGGATGACTTAAACTTAAGACACCAGTCAAACTGAGGGTTCTGGGATTTCCTCTGCCAGAAGGGGAAATCTTGTTAACCCTAAAAGTAACTGAAGAATATAGCTTATTTTCTTAAATTATGTCAGACCCCATTTCAAGGGGAGAGAATTTTTAGGAGGCAATAGGTGAAATATATGCTGTGGTCATGTAGAACTAAGAAGGATTATCTACTGCTTAATCTGCTATGCCTCTGTTCTTATGATGTAATTAAACAAGACTTTTCTGTGATGGCAGTCAGTGATGGATGCATTATCTTACATGCTTTCAGCAGGTGAAAGTTTGTCTTCCTTATCACTAATGAAGAAACTTAAAAACATGAGGAGAGCAAAATTACTTAAACATTATTTATATAATACTTCATACTGCATAGTCACCCTTTTTAGATATCTTCCACATGGCCTTATTGAACTGATGCTTGGAGGTCTTGTTTTAATTCTAGATTACTTTTACATGCCTTTTTCAGATATATAAAATGGAAGGTGCTACAGATTCCTAGTTGTGGTTTCCTACAGCTTTGTCAGCAGTGCAAACTTAAGATTTGTGTAAACAATGCACTTGAACAGTTAAAAAAAAGTATTTCTAAAAAGCGTTCCATACAAATACTTTTTCTTTATGTAATTCATTGATTCGGGGAAAAAATGGCTGATTTTATGTAATGCGGTTAAATCAGTAAGTGTAAAGAAAATATGTTTAACTAATATTGCTTCAAGAAGATAGCAAAGGTGCCAATAAATGCATCTCCTTTGTTTTGAGAGTGAAATGGATGTAAAGATTGTACGCATTTTAACTGGGTTCTTACACTAAGTATTGTAGAGCTATATTTTAACTGGTTAATAGCTCTCTCTACAAATATAAATATAAATGTTGGTAGTACCAAACCATTAAGAATAAAACTTGTTTGTGCTGAACTGCATCCATCTTTCTCTACACTAAAAATGTAACTGAATGATAAAGTGCTATTCATTTGCAGGTGCATTGCTTCTACTTAAGGGACTATGGTTGAAAGGACAGGAATTAGTAGCATGTTGTATTAGCCTTTTGTAGTGTATTTTGTTCTAAGCATCTTAATTTCCCTGTTTTGAATGCTAAGTAGCAAGGGTCTTGGTTTTGAACTAATACCCATCATGCATGTAAACGGTGTGAAAGAGCTGCTTAGTAAGTTAACACAAAGTGTTCTTGTGTCAGTCCTTGTGGAAATAGATACAATACAAACATTACAGCTGAACTCACGGCAAACTCCATTAAGTAAAAACCTGGATTCATTGTCCAGAGGAAAGTTTGAATTGAATGTAAGCTCATTTTGTTGAATGTAATGTCAGGCTTTTAGGGGTTGTATTGAGGAGTACGGTTTTGTTAAGTCGAGACCAATTCATTAAGTTTTATTGCCTGGTGAGAAGCAGTAATACGTTATTGTGAAACTTCATCAAATATTCATGGTTAAAAAGAAGTAGTAAATGTATTCAATCAAGTGGTCTTTTTGGGGTCTGAAAAGGATTATGAAGTCTGCTCAGCTGATAGTCTCTAACTTTCACTTTGGTTATCTGAAAATAGTAATTTTAACCTCTAAATTTAATTTTGGTGTCAGAATATTTCTTCTTCCCCAGTACGTTAGACTACAGGTCAGACTTGCTGACAGTATCCTTAAATTACATTTTTATTATTTTATGTCAAACTTTGTTTTCAAAATGTTCTTTGATTTGAATGCAGGATGTTGTCTTCTGAGTTTGTAATGTGTTTTGCAGCTGATCCTATAGGCAGGCATTTCAAGCAGGGAGACATAAGAATGCAAGAGTGTGCTAGCTGTCGCTTTTCTGTTTGGGACCTACCATTTTTAGTCTTTGTCCCTTTTCCTCCACTTAGTTCTGCACCACCTAATATCTCTTGTAAGCTGCTTGTTCGGGAACCTGAGTTCCGCAAGACTGTGTAGCATAGTCTTGGAGAATTGCTGGCTGGGAAGTCTTAGCTATTCTGAAAGTGCAGCATAATCAGAAGCTATCAACACTCTTAGGTTTTACTTGGACAAATGTAACAATCTTTAAATGTAAAAATGTTCATGAACTTGTGCTGTAACTACGAGCTTTTTGATGCTGACAGTGGCTGGATTGTGACCTTTCTGGATCTCGTCAGTGCAGCTCTTTTACTTACTGTAAGGTCACTACTGAACAACAGGAACGCTTTCTTTTTCTTTTTTCTTTTTTTTATTACTGTTAGGCCATAGCACCTCTTTTATATTCATTTCTTATAGCACAATAGTGACATCAATGCTGTCTTTTTCTAATCTTACACTGATCCTGTCTCCTTTTATAATCTCCAGGCAGACGATGTTGAAAGTAAAATTAGAGAAATCATTCCTCCTGGTTTTTGCACAAACACAGATGACTTTGTGTCTCTGCTGGAGAAGGAAGTCAACTTCAAGCCCTTTGGAATGCTGCTACACACATATTCTGTCCATAACGAGGAAGCTGGTGAAGATATAACATATCAGATATACAAAGTATGAAAAATAAGTGAAACTTCTGCTTTTGAGCAACCAAATTAAAGTTTATTTTTGCAGTGATGCACTTTCAGTAATGTTTCAACTATAGTATATAAATACTGTCATTTTACCAGTTTATTAATAAATTATAAACATGCTTTTTTGTATTGGAGAATTTAATTAGGTTTTGCATATTTTTTCCTCTTACGTCTGTGATAGGTTTCACCTGACTTATCCTGGCTTTTTCCCTAGGCCGACATGACATGTCCAGGCTTTCGAGAATATCATGAAAGGCTTCAGACGTTCTTGATGTGGTTTATTGAAACTGCTAGCTTTATTGATGTAGATGATGAAAGATGGAACTACTTTCTAGTGTAAGTACAGTTCTAAAGCAACAGTGGACCTTATTACCTCCACAAAGCCTGCATTTTAATTGTGGCTGGCCAATTATTGGAGCAGTATAATGATATTTTTCCCAGGAAAGAAAAACCATTGTTTATGAGGCTTGAGTTTTCCTCCATTATGCTTTGGGAAACCTTGAGAATAGAGCTGAATTAAATGCTGTTGTCCGTTAGAGCCCTGAATGTAGGCTTAAACAGTAAAATGAGCTTTGCCTGTGTTTTCTTTTACTTGCCACCTATTCATCTTTATAATAGGCAAGTGCACTGAAGTGCTGTAAAGAGGCCTGATTTATCCAAGTTGCTGCACACCAATTAAGTGAATTGTACATTCAGAACATAGCAGGTGTACCCATTGGGCCCTCACAGAGTAGCTTGCTGACACTGAAAATTCAGTTGGAGAATGGAAAAGAAAATGGACACTGCATGGGAGCGCGACTGTAATTGACCTGCTTGGCTTTCTGTTTTATCTGCAGATTTGAGAAGTATAATAAGGATGGAGCTACGCTCTTTGCGACCGTAGGCTACATGACAGTCTATAATTACTATGTGTACCCAGACAAAACCCGGCCACGTGTAAGGTAATTGGCGGCGTAACTCGTGCCTTGCCTTTTATTTCAGAAGAGGGAACTGCTGAAGTTCCCAATACTTGTTTATAATGGTGTTGATTTGTTTAAAAAAATCCCCATTATTGGCTGGCTATGCACTGATTTATTTCATTGTTCCCTTCTTGAAGCAGAGGGAATCTCAAACGAGTTTTGAATATTTAGCGATTTTAAGACTCCGTTAAAAATTATATTTTAACATGAAGATTGCTACATGTACTTTAATCTAAAATGAAATGCCATTTCGTTTTTAAGCCTTTACATTATAATGTTTGCAAATGCATGCATTTGAACTGAAAATACATTCCTTTGTCTGTAGCCAGATGCTGATCTTGCCACCATTCCAAGGAGAAGGCCATGGTGCTCAGCTTCTTGAAACAGTTCATAGATACTATATGTCTTCTCCTACAGTACTTGATATAACAGGTTTGTGTTTAAATTTTTGACTCAGTTCACCTGTTTAATAAGCAACTTGTAGCATTCACAGGTTGTTAGCCTGCAAACTAACTTTCATGTTCATTTGTCAGAATTAAATGGCCTTTTGAAGATTTAGCTTCAGCTCAGTTCAGGATTAATAGTACCCTGGTTTGTAGAACTGTATATAATGTAGCTCCTTAAGTCCTTTACTTAGAGAACAGCACACCAGGAAAATTCAATCCCTAGCATGAACGGATTACCAGCTAATTAGCCATTTTATTGTGAGATACACAGCTGAGTTTGCCAAGAGATCAAGCTTTGTCAAATTCCTTGTTCAACTTACTCCTATTAGCCAAAACTGAAAACTGGGGGTGGGGGGAACACCTAAGCAAAATAGCATATTAATATTAGTGTGCAAGCCAAAATTTTACAGACAGTAAAAATCTGTAGAAAATTTGTGCTCCAGGAGCATGTATTGCTGGCTGAAGGCACCCATGATATTAGAGGTGTGTGCACAAATACCTAAAAATAAATTATTGAGGAAGTGGCAGGGGCAGGGGGAAAGGGCGTGTGTGGATAAAAAATGGCTACAAACATGACATCTGTCCTGTGATTTCAAGTCCAATATAGGAAGAAATGCAGTTCAAACACATGATGTGACCATTCAATTCTAGGTGGTATCTCAGACCTCATATAGGCATAACTCCCCCATCCAAATTAAAATACAATAGAACACTTGCTTTCATAATGCATTGCTGCAGGATAATCCTAACAAAGTAATCCACCTCATAATTTTAATCCAGTTCATAGGAACCTAAGGAAGTATAACTTCGTTTATGCAACAGGAAATCATATGCATCATGCATTTGCTTTTTTCTTTTTGCTTTTAATAATATGAAGCTTTACATAGCTCTTATAGCTGAGGATAAAGTCTTAACATGGTACTGCATAAATCACGTGACATGTTCATGGCTCAGTGCCTTAAATGCAGGGTTGTAGCAAACAGTAAATGTGCACTAAAATAGGTTTTCATTTCTTTATCGAATAAAGCAGGAGAAAGCTTGCAATATTCTACATGGCACTCAAGTTACAGAAATTAAGGCTTTTACAAAATTATTTTTCTTTTTGAGGGGGAAGTCAGGCTGGACAATCTTGATATGGCCAGGATATTTACTTATGTAGCATCTAAAATTGTGAAGTAAAGCCTTTAACGTTTCTGAAAAGAGGAAATGAAGATCTACTTAACTTCTTCAAAAGAGCTAATGCTTTTTAGAAAAAAATTTACTTTGGAGTTTCACATTTATAACATTTTTTGTTCTGCTTATAACTTGTCATCCTAACTGACCAAGTGAAATGTATGATAGTGCTTACTGTACAGAAACTGCCTCATCTTTCTTATATCTAATCTGAGCAAAAAGGAATGGAATAAATTAATTTTAGTACAGCTTCTCCAGTCTCTTTTGCAGAATAAGTGCTATAAGACTTGCCATACAAGATTAGGCCCCTCATGCATAAAACATTTTAACTGATACAATCATCAGAAGCATTCTCCAACCCAAAAAATAAATTGCCAGTTGTGCAGTGCTGCATATACACAGCAAAAACTTCTATCCCAGTCCTTCCTCTTGGTAACTTTTGATCATCCTTAAACTGCAAATTTCAACTATTTACAGTGGTCCTCAAAACTAAAGAAAAACACAGCTGGGATATAAGCGGTT